GAGCGGGGGCATCTGCCAGTTCTGTGATTGAGCAGATGACTCGGGCGAAGCCACACTCCTGAGCAGGCTCTGGCCAAGAGGTGGGGACAGACTCTTGCTTCCTTAACAGTGGCTTTCTGATTGTAGCCTCGAGTTTGGAAGAAAGCAAGGCAGTACTAAGGAGGAACAGGAAAGGAAGAGGCTGATCCACAAACACAAGCGTGAATTTAAAGGGGCCGTCCGAGAAATCCGCAAGGACAATCAGTTCCTGGCGAGGATGCAGCTCTCCGAGATCACGGAAAGGTGAGCGACGTGTGTGCTGGCACGGCTGGGTGACTCAGCTCTGGTGCTGTGTGGCCCTGGGCAGAGTACTGGGCACTAGCATCCCACGGCGTGGCTGTGGCTGGAGCCGGGCACGTTCGCTTCCCCGCTGTGAACTGATGTGGCTGCCGTGGGCTGATACGGTTCTGATGTGGGGGAGAGGGCAAGACGGCCTCCAAGAACTAATCGAAAAACGGGCATTTGCCTTTTGTTTCCTTCAGGGATGCAGAAAGAAAGCGGAAAGTAAAGCAGCTCTTTAACAGCCTGGCTACACAGGAAGGTGAATGGAAGGCCCTGAAGAGGAAAAAGTTCAAAAAATAAATTACATTTTATAAACTAGCAAGGAAGTACACTGTACATTACTTCACAGCTGCAGTCTCAACACTGGGAGGCCAGGGCAGGAGGATCGCTTCAGCCCAGGAGTTCGAGACCAGTCTGGGAAACAGGGAGACATCATCTCTAAAAAAAAGTTTTACAATTAGCCAGGTGTGGTGGCACGCACCTGTTATCCCGGCGACTCGGGAGGCTGAAGCAGGAGGACTGCTGGAGCTGAGTCCAAGCTCACAATGAGCTGTGATCGAGCCACTGCACTCCAGCCTTGGCAACAGTGCAAGACCCTGTCGCTTAAAAAAATAAATTTCTTTTTTATTTTTGTTTTTTTTGAGATGGAGTTTTGCTCGTTGCCCAGGCTGGAGTGCAGTGGGCAATCTCAGCCCACCACAACCTCTGCCTCCCAGGTTCAAGTGATTCTTCTGCCTCAGCCTTCCAATTAGCTGGGATTACAGGCACGCACCATCATGCCCGGGTCATTTTATGTTTTTAGTAGAGACGGGTTTCTCCACGTTGGTCAGGCTGGTCTTGAACTCTCGACCTCAGGTGATCCGCCCACCTCAGCCTCCCAAAGTGCCTCCCAAAAAATAAAAAATTATTTTTTTGGCGTGAGCCACAGTGTCCAGCCAAAAAAACAATTTTTTAAGTAATAAAGAATGCCGTAATGTTGGTGTGATTTTTTTCCCCACCTGTGGTTTGTCCCCGTTAAACGTCGGATGGAGCGGTCTGCGTGGTGTCAGCTGTGACTGGTTCACTGCATCTGGACACCCTCAGTTCACACTGCCAGGGTTGGGCCTGGGGATTCTGGCCAGTGTAATTTTTGTCAACTGTGGACATTTGCCTTCATGTGTAGAATTTAGGCTGCGAGGTAAATTACATATTCAATTATAAATGACAAGTTTGCAAGTAGCTTGGAAATCAGAGAAGAGTCGCCCGCAGTGCCCCTGCTGGAATAGCCACCGTTGGCCTTGTCCTTTCGCCCTTCAGCAGATGCTTCCGGGTGCTGGGTCCTCATTGAGGACACTGCACTGTGGGGGGTGGGAGGAGACTGGGTTGTGTCCATGCCGACCTGGATGTGGTTTCAGGTCAGAATTGGATGTGAAAGTTGGGGATGAGACAGCTTTTCCAAGTGTTTTTATCCTGCACGAACCAAGGGAGGTCAGCCCTCATGTTTGTGGGACCCAGGAGGGCCTGTGAGCTGTAAGAAGTAATGACTCCCTTGAACTTCAAAAGCTGGCCAGGGAGCCATACCCCAGATGCCACTGCCACGTCCTCACAGTGCAAGGCTTGTTGGGCCGGATACCTTGCTGAGGGAGGTGCTGAAGTCGGTTTCCCTGCACCAATACGCTATATGGTCTTGCAGGCCAAGGCATCACCCAGGGGACTACAGAGCCCCTGTGGGGCTACAAACCAGGGCAAGCACAGCGCCTGTGTCCTTAGCCAGCCTCCCAGGAAAGAAGCTTGACATCAAGTTCATACCACACCAGATCCCGCCGTGAGCAGCCTGCCCTAGAGTGCATGAAGGAGCATCGCTGAGGTCACATGTCTAGCCACGGCGGTGACCATGGTGAGATGTGAGGATTAGCCAGACTAGAACTGGGGAAGTGAGGAAAGTGAAGAGGACCCAGTTCTGGCTTCTAAGGGGGGTGTGGGATCTCACAAGGAAGAAGTTGCTGGAGAGAATGAGGAGTTTGGCTTTGTGCTCGCTGGGAGGTGTTGAGGCCACAGCTGGAGCGCAGCATGAGCCATCCTCATGTGAGAGGCAGTCACTGCCGTGGTTGCGCTGACTGGTAGGCCTGGAGCTCAGAACCAGCCAGTCTCCCTCTGGAGAGTGGAAGACAGAGACAGCCCTGGTGGCAGCTGGGCTGACGCTGGCAGCTTGAAGATGAGGCCCAGGCTGACAGAGGCATCTTACCCAGCCTCCCTAGGATAGCTCAGGAACAGGTCTGGCAGATGTGTGGGTCCACAAACCTAGAAGGGTCTAGGGTTGTCACATCCACCAGCTAGGCTGGCTGGCTATCCCCCTGGTCCCTGTGTAGGCCCAGGATGCCGTTAACACCAATGGTTGCAGGGTTTCACCCACCTACACATTTTCTCTGCCACACGGCCACTGCCACTTCATTTGCCAAGCCCTTGCACTCGGGACAGCTGCCAAACTGTCCAAGCAAAGAGGAAAAGAACAGGACAGGAAAAAGTAGGACCAGATCACGCACCAGACTCTCCGTTGAGGCCTTGTTATCCATTACCGGACAGAACGTGCCAGCATTGAAGAGGGCAGGTGATCCACCTGGAAGCATGGATAAAGGTGAAACCACCCAGTGGGTTCACATTCCCTGCTACCTTGACAGAGCCAATTTCAAGACAGGGCATTTGCAATAGAGAAAAAGTAATTCACGCAGAGCTAGCTGTGCGGGAGACTAGAGTTTATTATTACTCAGTCTCCCTGAGCATTTGGGGATTAGAGGGGTTTTTTTCAGAGTCTCACTTTGTCACCAGGCTGGAGTGCAGTGGTGTGATCTCAGCTCATTGCAACCGCCACCTCCCGGGTTCAAGTAATTCTCCAGCCTCAGCCTCCCGAGTAGCTGGGACTGCAGGTGCGCACCACCATGCCCAGCTAATTTTTGTATTTTTAGTAGAGACAGGGTTTCACCATGTTGGCCGGGATGGTCTCGATCTCTTGACTTCATGATCCGCCCACCTCGTGCGTCTAAAAGTGCCGGTTTTTAAGGATAACTTGGTGGGTGGGGGCAGCCAGTGAGTCAGGAGTGCTGACTGGGTCAGAAATGAAATCAGGGATTCGAAGCTGTTCTCTGGGTGGGGGTCAGAAGATCGGAAGAGCCTAGATGGTGCCAGCTGATTCATCAAGCACAGGGAGGGTCGCAAAATATCTCAAGCAGTCATCTTGGGCTTTACAATAGTGATGTTAATCCCCAGCAACAGTTTGGGGAGGGTCAGAATCCTGCAGCCTCCAGCTGCATGACTCCTAAACCATAATTTCTAACCTTGTGGCTCATCTGTTAGTCCCACAAAGGGAGTCTAGTCCCCAGGAAAGGTTTCTTTTGGGAAAGGGCTGTTAGCATCTTCGTCTTAAACTAAGTTCCTCCCAAAGTTGTTAGTTCAGCCTATGCCCAGGAATGAACAAGGACAGCCTGGAGGTTATAAGCAAGATGCGGCTGATTAGGTCAGATCTTTCTTTTGCCTGTTACAATTCTGCAACGGCAGTTTCATAGGGATGCCTGTCCTCTGGGGAAAGAGCTAATAACAGGTTGTCTTTTTGGCTACAGGTGGAAAACTGCATCTATTAGGCAGAATGTGTGCCGCCTGATTCCCTTCCCCATGTGTATCTTGTTGGGGTCCGCCACAAGAGATCCGCGGGCATTTTAGAAGGTGGGAGGGAGGTGGGGGCTGGCTGCAGGCCAAGCGTCGGCGCGGTTCCGTGAGTGTGCTGGCCCTGGAGCACGGGCACGGGCACGGGCAGCAGCCAGGCCCAAAGCTCCCCCAGCCGAGGGGGACCGTTTCCTCCAGCGCTGGGCCAGGTGCTTCTGTGCCCAGCCAGAGCGCCAGCTCCTCCTTCGGGTGACCCAGGGAGCAGGGCTGCAGGCCCCGGCCCAGGACGCCGAAAAGGTGCCAACCGGGTCCTGTGGCTTTGTCTCTGCCCACCTAACTCACACCATCTTTCCTCCTCGGCCGCCTGTCCTGGGACTTCAGGCTCAGCAGCAGACACAGAAAAGGCAGCTGCACAGAGACAGCGGGTCAGCCCACGAGCTCCGAGCAGAGTGGCTGTGCCGCCCCGAGGCCGCCGCTGTACGTGTGGCAGGAGTCAGCCCCCGGGGTGGGGCCCCGAACCCCGCGGTTCTTCCACGAGGAGGGCCAGGCCCGCAGGCGCAAAGGCGTGGGGCAGAGCTGCGCCGGCGCTCGCTGGAGGCCGCGCACCCACACCTCAGGCCCATGAGTCCGCTCGGCGGGACGGGTGGCGTGGGCCCAAGGGGGCCAGGCCGGGAGTCTCAGCCTCAGGGTCACGCGGGACCCGTCTCGCCCCAACAACGCTTCCGCTTGGGTCAGAGCGCTGCTAATCCACAGCCGATCAGCGAGTCGCGAGACTCACGCGAACTCGTCACTGCCTCCGGCCGGAAGAGGACGTACCGAGAAGTTCGTCACTTCCGGGGCGTGGCGTGCCGTGGCCGGGCGTGGCCGTCCCGCCCCCGGCAGCGTACCTGGCGCTGAGTTCCGCGACGTCGGTCCCGAGCAGGCAGCCGCGGCAGGTGCGGGGCGGGACGGGGACGCGCGGGGTGTGGGTGTGGGTGGGGTGGGCGACGCGCGGGGATGGGAAGCTGGACCGGGGGCGTGTGGGGTGGCGGCTGTGGGGGGCGGGACCGGGGGCGCGCGGGGTTGGGGGCGCTCCCGCGTCCGGCGTGTACGCTATGGTCCCCATCAAGGAGGCCGAGCCTGGGCCAGGGGCCTGGGTGTGGGCCTGAGGGCTGGGGTTGGGGTTCGGGTCCCCGGCCTCAAGTTGCCTCTCCCGCTCTGTTACGAGGGCGTGGGAGGCGTGGCCGTGAGGCGGGGTGGGGCCGCCACCGCGACGTCCTCATCCGGGTCCCTCGGGACCGTTGCCTTTGCGGCTGCGATTTCTTTCACAACCCCCGAAGCCCTCGTTTCCTGCTGCGTGGGTCGGGGCGGGGGCATCGCGCAGCCCAGAACGGCCCCTGTGTCGGGTAGGCCGGAGCCCCTGCTATCAGCCCCTACATGTAGGGTGCTCGCCGGCTGTCAGGGCTCGGGGTATGGCAGGCCCTGCAGGACTCAGCTTCCCCCCTCACCCGACGTGCCGCATCCCAGCCAGGCCAGGTTGGAGCAGCCACCATGGGATGGGGAGGGGGTGGAGGCTGCACCCCGCGCCCACCCATCCGCCAGCAGCCGCCGGAACGCCGCGTGGTCACCGTCATCTTCCTTGGCCTCCTGCTGGATCTCCTGGCCTTCACGCTGCTGCTGCCCCTGCTGCCCGGGCTGTTGGAGAGCCATGGCCGTGCCCACGTGAGTACTTGCCCTGCAGCCCACAGTGCTCCCAGGCCCCCAGGCCCATTGGACCTCCCCAGCCTTTGTTGTGCCTCCTCATCCCCTAGGATCCCCTCTATGGCTCCTGGCAGCGCGGGGTGGACTGGTTTGCCAACGCCATCGGGATGCCAGTGGAGAAGAGGTACAACAGCGTCCTGTTCGGAGGTATGGCTGGCTCTGTGCCCCTGGCAGGCCCTCTAGGGTCTTATCTCCAGACCAGGCCCCTTCTCAATTCTCGGTCCTTCCTTTCCCACTCCCTGGGCTGGCATCAATCTGGAGCCCTTGCCCACACATCTGGCTCTTGGGCATGATCCCCTGCCTCTGCGTGTCATGTCCACATCCTTTCTTATCTCCACTGGGGCCACCTCGGCTCAAGGGCTGTGGCCTGTGTGTGGCTCAGCACAGCTGGACCCTCAGGATGGAGCTGAACATTGGCTTTGAGGACCCTGAGACCACAGCTCGTGGTGCAAAGCAGCCCCATGACGGTGACATCTCTCTCTCAGGTCTCATTGGCTCGGCCTTCTCTGTCCTGCAGTTTCTTTCTGCACCCCTCACTGGGGCCACCTCTGACTGCTTGGGGAGGCGCCCCATGATGCTGCTGTCCCTGGTATGTCTCTGGATCTAGGTGCCATGAGGGAGCCCCCACCCACCCAGCCGGAAGCCCCATGGGGTTAGGTGGGACAGTGGGGAGAGGGAGGTGGCTGTGGGCCACTCACGGCCACTGGTTGGCCCTCATCACATCCTGGAAGGGGTTCTCTGGGGGACTAGTGGCTCCTGTCCTACAGCCAGGCTTTCAAGGAGCTGCTCTCAAGTGCCCCTCAGATGCTTCTAAATAGGGCAGGGTTGAGGGGTGTTGCCTGGGTTGCCAAGCCCCACTCTGAGCCACTCCTGGCCTTAAGTGACCACCCATGCCCCTTGGCCCCTGCCCCTGGGCAGACGGGTGTGGCCACCTCATATGCCGTTTGGGCCACCTCTCGGAGCTTTGCGGCCTTCCTGGCCTCCAGGCTGATTGGGGGCATCAGCAAGGGGAACGTCAGCCTCTCCACAGCCATCGTTGCTGACCTGGGCTCGCCTCTGGCCCGAAGTCAAGGCATGGTAAGCGCACAGGCTGGACCTGTGGGGTCTGGGTGGGGACTTCTGGGCCTGGGGTCTCCCTGCACAGCTCAGGTGGTCTTTTCCCTAGGCAGTCATCGGGGTGGCCTTCTCTCTGGGCTTCACCCTAGGCCCTATGCTTGGAGCCTCCCTGCCCGTAGAAATGGCACCCTGGTTTGCCCTGCTCTTCGCAGCCTCCGACCTGCTGTTCATCTTCTGCTTCCTGCCGGAGACACTGCCCGTGGAGAAACGGGTAGGGCTGTGGTCTGAAGTGACAGGCCCAGGGGCTGGGGGCTTGGTTCCATAGCTCTGAAGGATGCCCCTGTGTGCCAGCCCCAGATGCCAGGGAGGCTGGGCTGTTCCCTCCTGGTGTTGGGGCTCTTGAGGCCACAGTTCCTTGTGGCACCCTGTGAGGTGCAGAGGCGGCGTCTGTCCCTGGACTGCAGGCTCTCCAAATCCCATCCCCACAGGCACCCTCTATTGCCCTGGGGTTCCGCGGTGCTGCTGACCTGCTCAGCCCCCTGGCCCTGTTGCGCTTCTCCGCTGTCACTCGTGGCCATGACCCACCTGCTGGAGACAGTAAGGACCCGACCCACCCAAGTGTGGAGCCTGCTCTCCCCTGGGCTGCCCGTGTGGAGTCCTTCCCAGCTCCCTCCACCTCTCCCCAGGGCTCGGCAGCCTGCGCCGCCTGGGCCTCGTCTACTTCCTCTACCTCTTCCTGTTCTCGGGCCTGGAGTATACACTGAGCTTCCTCACACACCAGCGCTTCCAGTTCAGCAGGTGGGTCCCCATCTGGGGATGGCCTGCTGTCTCCCTGCTAACGCCCCCTGCTTCAGGGATGACCCTCCCAACCCCCACCCCCAGGAAGCCTTGGCAGCCACTCTTGCCCTGGCGCTGCCCCAGGTGGCCCTGCCCCAGGGTCAGCCGTTAGGGCTGGGCACTTAACACGCCCGCTCCCAGCCTGCAGCAGGGGAAGATGTTCTTCCTCATCGGCCTCACCATGGCCACCATCCAGGGTGCCTATGCCCGGCGGATCCACCCTGGCGGAGAAGTCGCGGTTGTGAAGCGGGTAGGGAGCTTCCTCCAAATCGGGTGGCAGGTGGTCCCGAGTCCTGCAAGGTGTGGGCTATGCTGAGGCCACTGTGCCCACCCGCAGGCCCTCCTGCTGCTGGTGCCTGCCTTCCTCCTCATCGGCTGGGGCCATTCTCTGCCCATGCTGGGCTTGGGGCTGCTGCTCTACTCCTTTGGTGAGTGGACCTGCCCTGGCAGGGGATCCAATGATGGGCAGCAGGGGCAGGGTTATGCACCCTCCCCTGGGCTGACTGGCACCTCCCCGATGTCCCCCACCAGCTGCTGCAGTTGTGGTGCCCTGCCTGTCCTCTGTGGTCGCCGGCTATGGTGAGCGCCATTCCCTCGGCTGAAGCCACCCAGGTGGGAGAAGGGCAGTGGCCCTGACTACATCTCTCCCCACAGGCTCACCAGGGCAGAAGGGCACAGTCATGGGCACACTGCGCAGCCTAGGTGCTCTGGCTAGGGCTGCGGGGCCCCTGGTGGCTGCCTCAGGTGAGGGTGTAGGATGGTGCTGGGGCAGGCTGGCGGCTGGGCACTTGCTCTCGTCTCCCCAGTGCCAGCCCCTTCGGGGTTTGGGTAACGCCGATGTCTCTCCACAGTGTATTGGCTGGCCGGGGCCCAGGCCTGCTTCACCGCGTGGTCTGGGCTCTTCCTGCTCCCCTTCCTCCTCCTGCGGAAGCTGAGTTGTCCGGCACAGATGCTCAAGGCTGAATAGCTGAGCCATTGCTCCCAGGCTGCAGGCGCCAGGCAGGGAGTGGAAGCCTGGGCTAGGCCCCTGCCCACTGCCTGACCCACCTCCTTCCTAGTCCAGAGAGATCCAGTGGGTGGGGGCCGGCCCCCTGGCAGGAGACCTCGGCAGCTCCTCTGGGCTCACTCCTTTATGATTCCGAGCGGTAGCACTGCAAGGCTGTCCGGGTTTTTGTTTGTTTTTTTAAACTATGTACCAGGTTTCTGATGACAAAATAAAGCAGCTATTTTATACCAAGTGGCTTTCTCCATACATAGCCATGCCTCGCTGCCCTCACCAGGAGAGGCCGCTGGAGCTGAATGCATGGCTCCACTGACCAGAAGGGTCCGAGGCTCTTCGAGACCCTGTTTCCCCTCTGCACAGTGGCAGTCTGGGGACTCAGGCCCCTCCAAGGCTGGGGTCAGCCCTGGCTAGGTGGCATCTGGCAGTGTGCCCCACACCCTGGCAAGCTGTCCCCAGCACAGAGCCTTCCCAATCAGACATGAACACACAGTGACAGTGACATTGGGACCATGGCACAAGGACAGGCCAGCAGCTCTCTGACCACCTTGATTTCCCATGGGGAGGGACAATGGGAGTGCTGGGCTGGCATGTCTTCCCGCGCCCATAGCTGCAGATGACATTTTATCAAGACACGAACACTCGAGAGGTCTCCTTTCGGCGCAGGAGACAAACTTGGGAACAAATTAAAATGTAAAACTGCTTCCCAGATTTAGACATGGAAATTGCTTAAAGAATTTTATTTGTGAGTAAAACATGTTACAATGGAGAAAGGACATTCAGGATCTGTCCTTCCAAGTCTGTTTTCATATATGCAACTATATTTCATGTTGTAATACAAAGGATTAAACTACAAAAGTGAAAATTAAAAGTCATTGCATATGTGGGATAAAGGAAGGGATAAAAGGAGGGTAAAGGAAGAGTCCACGGTTAAGGACTTTCATTCTGCCTTGGCAACAAAACAACACATAAGAAAAGCAGCACGCTTGCCCACGCAGCAGGCCCTGCGGCTCAGAGAAGCTCCAGGCAGCGGTCAGTGCCATGCGGCAGCCCAGTGCTCACACGGCCTTCCAATCAGTGGGACCCAAAGTGGCTTGGCCCATCGTGCCCAGGACCTGAGCCTACATCTGGCACCAGCTCTACCAGGGGCCTGTCCCATACAAGCTTGCCTGCACCTAGTCAGGCTGGTACTGGGGCAGCTCCTGAAATGGATCACCCTCCAGTTGCTGCTCGGCAGCTCTGAGCCCTTTTCCAGGGAAGTGAGAGTAACAGTTACTAGCCAAGCAGCGCTCGGAGGATGGAGATGTCGAGAGGCCCCAGGGCCACTCTCCACCTCAAGTTACCTTTTACCACAACTAGGGCATCTTTCTGGCCGAGTTAAGGTGAGAACAGATTCCCTGAAACCTCCCCCAAGTAAGTGAAAAGTGCTCTGCTGCGGGGTCTGGAAAGAAAAAAGCAAAAAGCAGCCTGTTCATGTTCACAGTCAAAAATGTAAGCTAAATTGTAAACCTGCTGAAAGAAAATTCTAGAAAAGACTCTTCCCCTCCTGATATACCTTCCCTATGACAGGAATCCAGAGACCCGAGTGAAAAAACTGTGAGCTCCTGAATGTGGTTCTGGTCGAGGGATCATTCGTCAGACCATGCATAGCGTCGTGTTGGGTACACACAGGCCCATCTGCTGCGGGCGTTTCCTGCCCAGCATCTGGCCCAGACCTGCCTCTTCAAGGCCGCTGGTGGGCACACAAGTGTTTTCACGGGACCAAGGCTTTGTATATAGATGTAAGTGAGATCACTGAGCAGAGAGAATGCCACATGAAGCCAGGAGTCTGAGTCCGTCACCTGAGACCTTAGGGTAGAGGGGAAGCCAAGCAGAGACGGAATGTGATTTCCTAACAGGTGGTACAGCGGGAGAGGTGAAGACTCGAGGGTGACGCCTGTCGCCAAAACTGGCAGAAGCCTCTAGGACCTTCCAGCCAGAACCATGACTTAATGCCTCCCACCTGCGGGGACAGCACGTCTTCCCCAGAAGCTGAGGCTGAGAGGGTAAGGGGCAGGGTGTGGCGGGGCTGCAGAGCACACACTCGGTCAACCCTTGGGACGCACAGGGCTGGTCACGTAAAGGGGAGCTCTAGCTAGCGGAGGGCTTGGCTTTTTGCATTCCATTACACAAGGACAGAGCACGAGATGCAGTCGGGGACTCTGGCAGAGCCAGGGTCGCTCCGGACAGGACAGTGTTAGCGCAGGGCCTTCAGGAGTCACTCTTCTTCTTGCTCTTCTTCAGAAAGGACGGGGTACGGAACTTCTTCTTCTTTTTGGATGGGGACTTGCCTGGAGACCCATCACTGCCAGGGTCCGCAGCAGCCCCCTCCTCGGCAGTTGAGGGGGCAGGCTCTTCGGCCACCGGGGCTGGGGCTGGGGCTGGGGCTGGCTCGGGGCTGGCCTCAGTAGGGGCCTCAGTGGGACTTGGGGGTCTATGGGCTCCCTCCTCCTTCTCTAACATTGGGAAGCCAAGTGCTTCTGAAGGCTCGTCAGGGGACAGATCGGGGAGAGTCGGCTTAAAGGTGGCGGCATCACTGTCGTCTCCAGTAGTCGGCTCCGGCAGAAGGTCTGGTGGGTGAGGTGAGAGATGGGGTTAAGGGTTCCTGCCCAGATCAAAACGGGCAGCTTGAGATGGGGGCTCCCTGTACAGGAAACTGCCATTTTACTCTGGATTTTTACTGACAAGAAACTTAAAATATGGTCTACTCTACTGTAAGGCTGGATGGAGCCAGTATCACAAAACACACACTTGGTCTTGGGGCAGTTTTTAGCTCCTTCTGGTGGGCAGTGTGCTGACAAGACCACACCCCGTCCCAGCCTGGGTGCCCCCGCCGGAAAGACAGACGGCAGCATGAGCTAAGGACAGCTAAAGTAGGACGTCTCGCTGTCATCATGTGAAGAGAAGGCTAAGGGCATGTATTAGGAGTCTTAAAGTTAAGTCTAAACTTGGGTCTACAACACCTGGTCTCCCCCAAAACAGCCAGTAGAAAATCGTGCTTAACTCCCACGCACGTGTGTGATGTCAACATCCAAAAAGCCGTTTAGGCTGGAAGTTAATTAAAAGGAAAGAGATGGCCTGTAAGGCAAGGAGTGGTGGCCAAAACTCCAGCCAGCATCAGGAGTGGACATCTGTGAGGGAGCACAGTGACCCTAAGGACACGACCTGGGGGTACCTTCCTTCTACACTCACACGGGCACGTGCTTTGTCCATTTGTAAACAGCCTACAAAGTTACCAGCGACTGACAGGTTAGGCACCACAAGCTGTTTAGTGTTTAAAAAGCCACACATCACGGCCGGGGGAGTCAGCTGAGCGGTTAGGAGCAGCATAGGAGGCCCCAGCCCTAAACCCTCAGTGCTTTACCTGTGGGAAGCTGGAAGCGCCACCACCCCACCAGCTGCCTGTGCTAATTCCGGGCCACACATTCCTAAGGGCCGGGGAGAGGGCTGTGGGCACACAGGCGCCTCTCCTCTCCCCTGAGGAGGTGGGGCCCGCTCTGCTGGGCACGGTGCGGCTGATGCTAGGATGGAGGCTGCCCCAGAGTGCTCGCTCTGGAGAGCTACCTATCATCTGAATGAACATCTCACTGCTTTAAAATCGTCCAATATCCGCTCCTCTGCCCACCTCCAATTCCCAGTCTCAGCTTCAGCAAAGGTCCAAAGCAGTCTGACCCCACGCAGCAGGTGGCAGAGCCCCACCCTGTCTGAACTAAGCTGCACTTACGTCGGATCCAATGGGGTAAAACCCTCCCACCAAGCAATCCAAAGAGACCCTCTATGGCCGGAGGTAAGAACCTCTGAGGCCCAGAGTGCCCCAGCGGCACACCTAGGTGTGTACAGGTCCCGAGGGAGGCGCCCTCTGCCGCTGAAGGCAGCACAGTGCTCAGGTGACTGAGCTGCTTCCGGGAAGGCCTCCAAGGGACTGGGTACAAAAAAGGGGCTTTCTGTTTTTATTTTAAATAAACAGAAAACAAAACTTAATAAACAACAAAGCAGCAGGAGAATGAGGCGAAGCACAGGGCACCGGCGGAGAGCGGAGGCGGCGCGGTACTTACTAGGGTAACAGGTACTCTCTAGCGCAGCCGTCTCCTGTTTGTGATGCAGCCACAGGAAGAAAAAGCACAAGGAGAGAATCTATGCATTCAGTCACAGCCATCGGGTTACAGAAGAAGAAAGGCAGGGCCACGGGCTTCACGAGAGACACAGATGTACGAGACCAAGGGACAGACACCCGGGATCACACGCCACAGACACACGGTGGCCGAGACAGCCGGCGTGCGGCTCACACAGCGGAGGGCACCTCCGGAGGTGGGGTCTGCATGACAACACGGCATGAGGTGTGTGCGAGCAACGGGCACTGCGGACACCAGCAACCACGGTGGGTTCCGACCCCTGAGGTCGGCCTTCCAACCTGGTCACAGCTCACTTACAAATCTGTCTTGCCTGGAGTTACCCAGGACAGAACCAACACAGGAGGAGAGAGAAGGTGTCACATCCTGGCGTTGATGCAAGCACACACTTCTGCATTGGTGTTAACACGACTCCCGCCACATTGAGTCACAGCGCGCACGAGCCGTGCACCCTCCCACACTGGGGCAGCCACTGCCACCCAAAGCTCACCTTCCTCCAGCTTGATTGGAGTGCTGGGAGGCGGGTGGGGGACCGCAGGCTGGTCTGGAGGACTCTCTTCTTTCTGTTCTCTAGTCTCATCCAGATTCTCTGCGGAGAAGCAAGAAGGATATGGTAGGAGCTGTGGGCGCCATGGGCCAGCACCCACCTCCATGCCAGACAGGAGCCGGCCCAGCTGCGCTCTGAGAAGGCAGGGCTCTCTCAACACTTTCCCGTAGTCCTACCAAGAGAGGATAAAGCGAGCTGTGACATGGGTGTTGACTGAAGTGAGTTTCAGAGAAACTTAACCAACTTCAAATGAAAAAATTCATTTCTATTCTTATTCCAAAGAGGATCTGCCAGAGCTGCCTCTGATGGACTCAGATGATGCACCCTGGCCCATCCCTGCTTGTCCTGTGCGAGTAGGGAGCCCTTCCCTCCCTGCCTTCTCCCTGCCTAGCAGGGGGCCAAGGGTCCTGAGCCCCTACGCACCACCTCAAGGGACATCACATGAGCATTATTTTGGTTTTACTTCTGTGGCAGGGCGTTTTATCCCAATAATTTAAACTTGGCAACTGTAGTGCATATTTT